AAAAAAAAAACACACACACACAGACACACACAACATTTTTTTGTTTTTTCCTCGCGCCTGTTTTCCGCCTGCACGACGACAGTCCAGGTCTCAGGCATGGCCTCAACGGGAAGCCAACGGCCGACACGCGAGGCCTCATCGCAGCGGCAGCCTGCTGACATTTTGGACTTTGTGGCGTATTTTCTGGCGCGGGCTCATGTACAACCCCTAGTGTAGGTTTAACATACAGAAAAGTGTTCACATTGGACCTTGTTCATTATCAAGCGGTGATTCAAGGGAGGAAGGGGCCTAGTTCCTTTTGAGTTCTCGTGGACTTCCCCTGAAACGGGTGGTTGGCCGGAATACACACCGTCTTTGCACATCGGCATGTGGCAGGCATGCAACCTCACCCAGCAGCAACAATTGTCGATTTGCAAAACGGCCGACAGTTTTGCGCAGCAAGCAACGTGAAATAGTCAGCCCTGTTGGCAGGACCGGGGCAGGTGCGGATGCTCGGCCAGCCTTAGCCCTCGACCAAGCCGCCCAGCGCAAGCGCCGCTACACCTACCCAGAACTCATGCAGTTCGGGCTCAAGGCCGCCGCCTGGGCATCCCCCGTGCAGCGGCAGCTCCAGCAACGATGTTGCAAAGGCTCGCTGCGCTGTGACGGACGGAATGCCACTCCAGCGCTGCACCCGTGCGCCGTGGGCAGTAACACGTAGGGCCGCAGGCGCCGCTGCTGCGCGTACGCGCAAAAGTAGACGGACGAACTGCGCTGCCTCGCGCGAGCAGCGGCCACCTACCTCGACACCGAAAACGACGAGGCGGCATCGGCGTGCCCTTTCGAGGTCCTTGCGGATTCACGCTGGACTGCTGCTCCTGCCACGGCACGCGCAGCGTGAGCAAACGCATGTGGCCAACAAGGCCTGCACAGGGACCGGGGTTTTGGGACAAGCTGCGGAAAAAGGTGTGTGAGGGGGAAAAAAACAACGTGAATGACGAAGGAATTTGGCATGTGCAGGATCTGCCGCAAACAGGTTGCTTGAAAAGCAGCATCCCCAAGAACTTTTCATGCAGGCGAAAAGGTCCGATGAAAAAAAACGTCCCATTTCTTCAATTCCGTCTGATGATGTCATATGACGTCTGATGAACCCATGGTGTATGCAACCCGCACACCAACCTTGACACTGCGCACGCATCAAAAATGTGCAACTTGTTAACGGTACTGAGGGGGGAATGTTTCCAAACACGCGACAAAGTTGCTGAGTCAAAAAGGCACCCGAACATGTGAAGGAATGCTAGCATTCAATGTGGGAGCGGTCCGGCTTGGGAATGACATGGAATGACCAGGTCGCTTCGCACAGGTAAAGCTCCTCCACACTGCCACCTCCCTCGATCCGCGCGCAACCATCCTATCGGTTGACGCGATCGGGGCCTTTGACCATGTCTCCCGCCAGGCCATGCTGGAGGGGCTGCGGTCCAGGCCGGAGCTTGAGTCGCTCCTGCCTTTCGCCAGGCAGTTTTACGACAGCGGCAGCTCATACACATGGCTAGACACCGATGGCCGCGAACACGATATAGTGCAAGGCGAGGGGGGAGAACAGGGAGACCCCCTCATGCCGGCCCTGTATTCTCTAGCGGTGCACCCGGCTTTGCACGCTGCTGCCGCCGAACTGCGGGCAGGCGAGGCGGTTTTCGTTTTCTTGGACGACACCTACGTCGCCGCGCCTCCTGAGCGCGTCGCGACTGTCCACGCTATTCTCCAAGAAGCCCAGTGGAACCATGCACGTATCCGCCTAAATGCTGGGAAGACACGCATCTGGAATGCGGCAGGCGAGGAACCGCCTGGCATTGACCACCTCCAGACAGCCAGCGGAGGCCCAGTCTGGACTGGCGCTTGGTCGTTGCCCCTGACCCAGCAAGGCATCCTCGTTTTCGGCGCCCCAATCGGGAGCGAGGTTTTTGTGCAGCGAGAACTGCGCAACAAACGCGACGTGCAGGACGAGCCACTCCGCCGCCTCCCGGCCCTGCCTGGCCTGCAGGCCGCGTGGCTTCAGCTGCTCTTTTGCGCTTCCCCGTGCCACCTACCTCCTGCGCATGCTCTGGCCGGGAGCAACAGCCAGCTTTGCCCGAGGTCACGATGCGGCAGTGCAAACCTGCAGGTGCCAGGCCAACCCTTGCCCGAACAGGCCAGGCGGACTCTCCACCTTCCCCTTGGCTTTGGCGGACTCGGCTTGCGCGCAACGTTTTGGTCAGAGGCTCGTTCCTCTGTCCTTCCTCTCTATGCTCTTCTCTCTCCTCTCCTCTCTCTTCTTTCCTCTCTTCTCCCCTCTCCTCTCTCTACTCTCCTCTTTGCTCTCTCCTGCGTTTCGCGGCCAAGTCCAAAAGTGACGACAGCTTCGCGTATCGCGACCACGACCCCCCCGATCCCGGTGACTGTTGAGACGCAAAACGAAACGCGAGCCCCAAAATGACGACGGTTCTGCATTTCGCGACCACGACCCCCCCGATCCCTGTGACTGCGCACGCCGCCCGTTGGCTTCATTGGCCATGCAGCCCAGTCGCAGCGCATCAGCGACGTCTGGTATAGGTCAGCCCCAGCGAGTTTCACGGCCAAAACATTCCGTGCAGACTTCGTCGTCCAGAAGTACCCTCAGGTGCTCATTGGTGCAGGCGGAATGCCCTGCCGCCGCTCGGGGACCGGAGGTTGGCAAGTACCCGATCACGGGTGAGAAGGGGAGCGGACACGGAGCGTGGGCCGAGATTGGGGCCGGGAGCCCAGGGCGCGTGCAGAGAAGGAGAGCTTTGCATAAGTGGGTGCCCTGTATATCATGCCATGACCGAATCGATTCNNAGCGATCTACGGCGATCCTCCGATTTCCCACCTCCCACCTCCCACCCTCCCACCTTCCCGCTTCGCACCGGAGCTGGGGGGAGGTGGGCCACGGTAACGGGCAAGTTTGATTCGATCGATTCGATCTCCGATTCGATGCCGGTGTTTGCGGTTCGTTGGCTGGGCATGTATATTGAGGAATATTTATATCCGGATGATAGGTGGTTTGGGCGGCAAGGGGACTTTCGAGGTTGTAGAGGAAACATATGCCTGCCATTTTCGCCCGCAAGTCTTCCATCACAGCAAGGCTGGAAACTAAAGCCTGCTCAGCGTACTCCGCAAACCTAACACGGAAGCCTGAATGGGGCCTAGGTTTCCATGTTGGCTTCAGGGAGGGTAAACCTTTGCAGCCCAAGTCCTCCGGTGTGTCCACTGTGCGCTGCAAGAACGTCGTGGGATGGTTGGCCTGTGCATGTAGCAGCAGTGAGAGGACAGCAGGCGGATGCGCAGGAACCTGCAAAATTCTGCGTTGGATTCGTCAGAAGGCTATGTGCGTTTGAGCAGGCATAGCCGAAGGACAGATGTAACAAAACGCCCATGGCACAACATGCAACTGGTGTCGTAATGGTACATGTGGACAGCCGAGGTTGCAGGATCTGGTTGTGGTTTGACACAGTTGTTTGATGATTGTATATCGTATAGGTTCATGAAATTTAGCTGAAGGTGATGCCGGGATGATTGGCGCCAGAGTCGTACGTCGACATTTTTCGGAAGAGAAAACCTGATCCCGCGTGCTGCCGGATTTTACTGGGAGGTGGCTTGCAAAAACACAATCGAAACTGTATTTGGGCACGCTTTCTGCGCAGACGCCCAAAAGTTCTCATTGTTGACGTTGGACAGCATGTTTTCGTTTCACTGGAAAGGTCCTAGAAGAGAAACCGTCGTTTTTGCATTTGAGCCGGCAACAGCATGGCCCAACTTCAATTCTATGGAATTATTTCGTGCCACAGAAATGATCAAATCTTGTAACTGCGGAACGGCGGCCATTCCGAATTAGGATGAGAAATGAGTGCGCCGCAACATGTCCATGGGGAGCCCAGTTTTTAGAGCATGCCACGCCTCGAGCTCGAACCGATGCAGCTGGCCCGAAGTTGTTTTCCCGGCTTCCATCCCGTAGCCTGAAGCCGCACAAGCCATGCGCAGCCAAACACTTCGAGACCGAGATGACAACCAGAGCGTTGATTCGGGCGATGATGATGGCTTCCCTTGCATCAATGACGCCGACACAGGCTTCGACCGAGCAATTTCCACAGGAAGCGCAATTTCGTTTTCCAGGAGGGGTGAAATCATTGAGGTAGAGCCCGAAGATCACCACGCCATGCGAAACCTGGCAATTTCTGCTGGTTATTTCCAGCGAGCCGGCTCAGACAGTGCTGAAGTGGCGGCGATGGGCCGTGGTAAATCTGGCTTATCAGTCCATCGTGCATATGGTTGCGCCAAAAAGTTGGTTCGCAATCGGTATTTTGCGCACTTCATGGTCGTGGTGGTCTTGTTTGATGCCTTCCTTACTGCCAGTGATATAGACTCGCGGGCCGCGGGCGCACAGACTCCAGTTGCTGTGATTGCAGCGTCATCCGCGTGCTTGGCACTGTACACCCTGGAATTTCTTCTGCAGCTGGCTGCACGAGGCCAATTGCAGGGAACATTCATGTTAGCGGTTAGCTTTTAATTTGAACGTATCCACATTTGCGGGTTTGAATACAAGGACGACGGGCAATGGCCGTTTGCCTTGCACGGAGAATGCCCCTGACGGTCAATGCTGTCCCGGGCATATCTGTTTGGGGCAGTGTTTTTTTGCTGCAGTAGTTACAGTAGGAATTGGAAGGTCTAGATTTTACTATAAGCGAGTGGCGCTTGCGGATGTTACTGCAGAGGCGTGGGCCAGAGGTGAGATAATTTTGTGTAGTCCTCCATCATGGGTGTTGTTTCCAGCAGGAACTAGCACACGCGCAGATGTGCCAGCCAGCGAAACGTGCATTATTGCTCGGCCAATGTGGGTGTTTCTGAGAATTCTCCTTTCATAATTTTACAGAGGAGCCACGTAATCCTGTAATCCCCGGATACCCACGGGGTCCTTAAGGGCCCCCGATTTTGAAGTATTGCGCTCGTATTGAAGACCCCCGCAATTGCACGAAACATTCCCTACAGACAGCAGCCCGAGAATACGGGTGTCATGTTCACGTCGGGGGGTGGGAAGTTTGATGTGGAGGTGAGGCGAATACTTTCTCTAGAACGTTCAAGTTGGTCCGCGATGATCATGTGCTCAAGGGTGGGATGGATTGGTGGATGCTTGCCACTCATCCAGTTATGTGTAGCAGTGTAGATGTGCCCACATTGGCCCAAGACAGAAGGGTTTGGGTTCCCAGAACAGAAGTTTTATCCTCAAAGCCGGTGCGTAGCGCAAGATCACCTGGCCCATTGCTAATGCAGACTTCTCCTTCTGAATTTCCTAGTTACTAACCCTACACCAAAAAATTGTTCCACTTTCTGTTCCATCATCCCTATATAACCTTATCCTCTTCCCCCTATACGAAACAGCAGAAGTGACGGCTGCTCGCATTTTTCGCTCGCGGCGTGAAACAAATTGACGAGGCAAATGACGCGTAAATCCTAGAACCAGGTTGCAACGAAAACTCAAGCCAGTCTCAATCAACGGGGTTGGATCTTCTGGTGGATGGTGTTTGTTGGAATGTATTTTCAGTAGCCGGTTCAGTTGATGCATTTTTGGGTTCTTTTGTCCCCTCGGACAGGCAAACGAATTTTCCACGATTGGATGACGAAGCTGGATTTGCTCATCATCGGATCTGGCTATGCCGAGATATTCCTGGGGATGATGGTAGAGTTAGCCATTTTGGATAAGATAGGGATTGTCCGCGTCCTGAGATTGGGTCGGATCGTCCGCTTGATGCAATTACTGCGCAAAAACCGCTCACTTAAAGAGCTGCGGAAACTGGTCACAATGTTGGCCACATGTTTCAGGACTCTGCTTTGGTCGTTCTTGTTTTGCTTTTTGGTCATGACCGGCTGGGCGATGCTACCAGGTCGACATTCAGGATCCTGTAATTTTCGGGGTTTGGATGTCTTTCGATAAACTGCAAAAGGGACCTTGTTGCTTCCTAGGGCGGCAGAGACTCAGGCTGATCGTGGAGATCATCAATCCCTATGTCATAGAGATGCAAGCATCCGCTCCGTTCGACAATTGCCCGGAATGCATCCGAGCAACCTCGTCAGTCATGCATGCAAATTTGATGCTGTTCAAGACGGTGATCGCAGGGGATAGTTGGGGACTCATTGCTGTACCCATGATTGAACGACACCCGGAGACTGCAATCATATTTGTGGGCGCATCTCTGACTCTAGTCTTTGGCGTCCTCAACTTAATCGTTGCGGCACCTTGCAAGCATTCATGGAAGGTCGGATTTAACGTGTGAACCGTTTTTTTTTTTCTCGCGCAAAGGCATTCTTGTGTTTGGATCGAAGTTATTTGTTGGTAGCGGTTTTTGTAAGGTTGTGGTTGATACCTTCGCCGAAACACGAGAGAACGATGTGGTCAATCTGGCACAAGAGATGGAATTCAGCATGGAGGATGACCAACAACTGCTGAAGCAAATTTTCAGCAGGACGGGGATGCGCCACCACTGTATAAGAAGATGCGCTGGCCCCAGCTGTCTCGAAATCAATGAACAACCCCTGTGGACAAAGAATGCATTTTGGAAAAGAATGAAAAACATATGCAATGCATTTGGTCTTTCTGTATGCTACGTGATTTCAGCCATGGAACCTGCATACGAAACAGGATTGACACGAACAAGGATGGCGAGCTCACACTGGAAGAGCTCTTGCATGGAGCGCGGACCGATTCAGAGTTTCAGAGCAGGCCCCGGTGAAAATTGTTGTTTCGTGGAAGGTTGCACGATTCAAGGCTTGCGTTTTGAGATGTCGGGCCCTGTTATCGGCCCTGTTATCTAGGGATTAGAGCATTGGGTCCTGGCCTCCCGTTTCTGGACATCAGGGTCGCGGTTGCAGAATCCATCTGAGGATCGTAGTGTATACGGGCGAGGCTCATTATTCCACGGCCATTTGTTGACCAGCTTGAGGGGATGGTAGCGAATAAGGCTGTCCACACTTCGGTGCGGGCTTATGTAAAACCTTTCGCATTCATTTCCATGGAGCGTACATTAACTTGCCCAGTCTTCTTCATCTGAGTCGCCACTCGCAGCATAGTTTTTTTTAGTGGGAAAGGGAATGTGCCCAAAGGGCATGCCAGAGATTGTGCCCCAGGCTCCTTGTAGAACTCGTGCCCCCAAGCCGACAGTTTTGCTAAATGTTGAGTTATGTTGAGCTCATTGAGCTTCCCTTCCTCTTGAGCTTCGCAAAGGGCGGCTGGACCGGAACCACTTACCCGTACTGGAAAAACAGCAAAATTGAACTAGCGGAGGAGAACTGATGGTTCGGTTCATGCTCTTACTGGTTCACGATGTCACGAATTGTTTGATTCGATTGGTGCCCCCATAGCAAGCGAAGCCACGAGAACTGCTTAACCCCTGTGTGGTTATCAAAATGATGGTTGCTTTTTTGGGTACCCTAAACATTAGGTGCCGTATTTATAAACGGGATCCAAGAAAACATAATTTTGACAACCACCCCCCTGGGGCGACCAGACGTCAGAGGAGTCTACAGCCAGACGTTTATCATGTTTATCACAATGCCGGTCTCCGCATAATCAGATGTTCGTCACATGCTTTCATCACGTCTGTTTGCATGCATGCCTTGAGGGTTGGCCTTATGTCAAGTGAGATGAATTACGTGGAGGTAGTTCCCCAAGAGTTGTTTGCTGATCTGATGTTTAGATATCGTAGAGCAACGTCAGTCCAATGGTCACTGCGGGTGAGACCAGCGCATCCCAAAGGAGTAGCATTTCTAGTGGTGGTACTATGGTGAACCAAGAGTAAGATTTTTTTCGCCCCTTTCGTTACAGTGGTTCATAGAAAACATAATCCAACTAGGTTTATAAACCACCGAACAAACAAACACCCCTCACAGGTTGCGAGTTATGGACATCGACGAGGTGGACTTGCAGCAATTCTTTGACATGATCGACCTCGATGGTTCTGGTTCCATCGAGGAGAAGTGCAGTTGCCAAGAATTACCAGCACACGGCTTAGGGTTTAGGATCCCGGCTATTGTCAGACATCCTGACGCAACAGAACTCAATAGGGATTAATAGGGTTTCCACGAGACCTGCAGGGGAGATGACTGTTTCGGTAACCTTGGCCATCGTACATGTCTAATCTACTTTGAGGCCTTTCTGCCTTGTAAGCCCACTTACTATCCCTAACCATCTCCATTATAAGCCCTAAACCTTAAACCCCATTATAAGCCTTATCATCCCTACTGCGAAGTTACCAGAGCCTCCGAGCCATCTCACCCAGCATCCCTATGGTAGGCCCTAAAACCATGGGTTCCTTACTACCCACCTCTATACTA